AATTGATTTGTAAAAGATGATTTGTAAATGTTGATTTGTTTAATTGATGTGTACATAATATTTGTGCTTGTTTAATTGATTGAAATGTAATAGTTGATTTGTTGATTTCAATCTGCATTATGTTGAATGCAAAACAGACTATCGCAACGCGGAAATGATTATCGCAACGAGAGAATCGCCGCGTTGCGATTTTCATTTTCGCATTGCGATTCACTCGTTGCGATTTTCATTTCGCATTGCGATTCTGTTATTGCGATAGTCATTTCCGCATTGCAATAGTCAATTCCGCGTTACGATAGTCATTTCCGTGTTGCGATAGTCATATTCGCGTTGCGATTTCCGCGTTGCGATAGTCAAATGAATGTCTAATAAGTGATAACAACTGAACATATCATAGAAATGTTCAAACTCAAGTTACTAATACATGCCTAACTGAAAATGTTAAAAGTTCACACATAATATACACATAATACAACGTTTACATTTAAAAATCACCTAAGTTAACAGTCCCAAAAGGTGAAGCCGGTTGTGATTGGGATTTTGATGAGGATCCATATTTTGGTAGAGGAAAAGATGATTGTTATGGCACTGGTGATCCACATGTCAACCTTGTATGACCACTTTCCTTGCACCGACTACATGTCGATCTCTTATTCTCTTTACCCTTAGACGGTATACGATCGTGACTTTTTGGTCGGCCAAGTAGCCTTCTGTCCATGGCTGGTGGCAAAACTGTTTGTAAATCATCTTGTATGTCCCACTCAGAATGATGTGGAATAGGGTAGACAATCTCGCCATAAGTCTGTCGATATACTTCTGTAGTGTAGCAATCCATAGCGTATGCGCTTGAATCATCTTGGTTTAGATGAAGAGAAACTTTTATAACATGGCCACACAGATAACCAGATGTTTCCATTTCATACAACTACACGTCTTTGCATTTAGATCGACAAGCCCATTTAAGTTATTATTCAGTACTTCAAACAAAGTGTTTGAACATGGTTTAACTCTCCATGACGTTGACTTCACAACACGTTTCGTTATCTTTTTTTCAGTCCATGGTGTAACAAGATGTTCCAATGTTCCTGTAAATTTAAATAAATAATACTTAGTAAAATGTATGATAAGTTACGAATTTAAAGAAATAATACATGCATGGTTTCTTTTCTTGTAGTACCATTGTTAAATAGAGGCTCGAAAAAACTCCATTAACATAGTAATAGGTAATTTCCGAGAATAACGACTTAGAGCGTTGATTGATTCTGCGCTATTAGACATCATAAAACCATATCTTGCTCCAAGTTGATGTACTCTTGACCATCTTTCAAACTCGACATCTTCTACTGTTTGAGCACACTGAGGCAAAACACGCTTAAACAGTTTATATGCTTATTAAAATCCACTTCCTGATAAGCTTTTACAGCCTTCCAGTATGTTCATTTGTGATTTTTTATACCAGCAGACCTTGATTTTAGATTTCTATACAAATGAACACCACAAAGTCCATGAAAAGTATCTGGGAAACACCTTCTAACAGCGTTGTCAATTGAGTTTGCCCTATCGGATATGATTGTCAGATTGCTAAATAGGACCTATACAATCCCTAAGATGACCCATAAAACATTTCCATGAATCAGAGGTTTTAGATTTGCCAACCCCGTAAGCTATTGGCAGTATCTCATTGTTAGCATCCATGGCTATTGCTAATAAGTTTACTCCAAGGTATCGACCTTTTAAATGTGCTCCGTCAACTATAATAACTGGGCGCATGCTATTAATAAACGAACGAATCTACAAAATCATATACACAAGAAATATAATCATTTAAATGTGAAATGCATGTAACTAACAAAAATGAGTCAACAAAATTATATTGATTTACTAACCGCGGCACCAATGGCGATAAACAGCAACTCAAAGCATCCATCTCTATCTGTTTTGATATGAGTTACCGACCCAGGATTTTTCAGCTTTAAATTGTGACAATAAGCCGGCAGTTGGGCAAACGATGCTTCTGGCGACCCCCTCAACAATTCCAAGGCATAACATTTGGTTCTCCAAGCTTGAGAATATGAGATACTAATCTTGAACCGAGCATTCATGTCAGTCATAATTTCATGTCCCAGATATACCCTGCCATTCAAAAACATTAACTCAGCCAGAAAACCACCCAACACCTTTTTGTTTGTCTGTCTATGGTGAGGAAAAACTTGGGTTCTTGAACGTTTATGTTTATCAATAAAAGTCCTAACTTGAAACATTTCGCAATCTTTTATCCTCTTTGCAATCATACGCCACGTACATTTTTTGTCAATCATACACCTTGTTTCGAAACGATCTTTGCTTGATTTGTAAACTTTTAGTTGATAGCCATCTTCCACACATTTTGTATACAAAGCTATCTTCAAGTCTTCCTTTGTATCAAAACAATCATCTTTCTTGATACGAATAATTTTTGTGTAACAATCAACTGATATCTTTACCAACTCTTCTTCCGGTATCTGAAGTAATTATGGCATATTCCAGTTATACTCCCGTGGCATTTTCTTCGGGGACTTTTCTTTGGGGATTTCTTCTTCTTCTTCTTCAGTGTTATATGAATTACATAATGGATGTTCAACATGTTCATTTACAGTCGTAACTTCCTCCTCATTATCATCAACAACATCTTCCTCGGCAACGGCTGTTTCATCATCAAAATTCGGGTATTGACCAATATCAAAATCATTACACGCATGGTCTGTTTCTTCTTCTGAAAAATCATCAAAATCCGAGTATTGACCAAGATCAAAGTCCGGGTATTGACCAAGATCAAATTTCGAATACTGACTAGTACTCACAATTTTTTCTGTTGGCTCATCATCGTCTAACTGGTCAATACGAAAACCGGAATTTGGTGCTGAAAGTTGATTGAGATTTGGATTAGGGAAAGGTTGTGGGTTTTGAGATTGTGTTTGGTATTGGAAATGTGGTGAAACAATATTTGCTTGGTGATGAAATTGTGGTGGAACCATTAAATTTTGAGCACCATAAACTGGGGTTGAAAAACTTAGTTGATTACTACCCGCTACTGACCCAACTTCACTACTTCTAGGTTCAACAACATACAATGTAACATCATCACTTGAAACACTAATGTAAGCAATGAATCGTTCAACATCTTCATTGTCGGTTAACAAATAAACTTTACCATTTCTCTGAGAAGATAACCTAAATCCACTTAGGGGCTCTAAATTCAATTTATTTACAACACGTAACATTAGAGTTTCTTAACTTTTTTAATGACGGTTTTAGTTGAAGATTCATGGGTAAAGGCATATAATGTAAAACACCATGAACATTCTCCCATGACCCTCCAAAACACAAATCTATCCAAACATGATCAACATTAGATGATTTCATTATTGTAAATTAATTTACTAAACAAACGAGTTGCGAAACTAAAATCTATTGCCGGATGGGGAAGGATGTCGTTGGATATAGGAACGGATGTCGCCGGAGAGAGTGATAGATGGAGATGGAATGAGTTGCGATTTAGGGATTTAGGTTATGAGTTGCTGCTGCTGCGTAGTTATATACCCAAAACATTCGTGTTACGAAACTAAAACCTGTTGCGAATTCAGAAATCGAGTTGCGAATTTGAAATTCAGTATTGCGATAGTCAGAATCTCGTTGCGATTTACAGATTCGCATTGCGATTTACGTAATCGCATTGCGATTTTCTAAATTCGCGTTGCGATTTACGTATTCGCATTGCGAATTAGGAAAATCGCAACGCGAATTTGGGAAATCACAATGCGATGTCAGAATCGCGTTGCGAATCTGGAAACTGATTTACGATACCGGAGATCACGTTGTGAATTATCGATCGCATTGCGATTTAGTTGGTCATTTTGGCAAATCCAAAAAAAGTTGGTTAAAATCGTATATTATAAGGCATTTTTGGTCGCTGAGGTTATTTTATCTTATATATTTCATCTTTAATATTTACAGTTATGATTTTAAAAAATCTTTATTATATATTTTGGAGATTTATTTTTGTCCTCGTACAAATTTTTTACAGATCTCTATGAATTTCGGTTAATTCTCATACTAAAAAATAAATAAATATTTTTGAAATCAATATAACACCTAAAACTTGTAAGATATATCATATTGTCTCAAATTGATATTTATCTATAATATGAAAGTTTTAAACGTTAATATTCATCTAACACCCAATGTATATATACAATCTTAACTATTTCAAATTGTAACAGATCAATGTATATTAAATGAGAAAAGATATAAACTTTAATTTTAGTTCATTTTGAGATGTAACAGTGACAACACATAATCTCACAGATATTTTTCGAAGATCCCCACCATTATTTTTGTAAAATATCGGGGATCCGTAATATTATTTTTCGAGGATTTTCACAGTTATTCATATTGGTACAATTTAGTTATCCTTACAGTTTGGATATATCAATCTCTGTCTCTATCCCCATTTTTTCTTCGGAGATAAAAGTTCCTCATCCCCATCCCCATCCCCATCCCCGTAAGTGAAGAATTCGATTATTTTCCATCCCAATCGATTCGAATCCCCCGTTTCTCGATTTTCCCAAACATCACTCGGTTGCAGCCTGAGTTTTTTTACAAACATGAGATGAATCTAATGCAGTATATGTTAATGAATGTCTATATGATATTTGAATATGAGATTTTAAAAACTAATAATAAATCTCTTAATTATTAAAATAATTTGATTCACGATTGTGAGATTTTTTTTATATATATAGCTATTACAGGCTTTGTTTGTAGTAGCCTGATTTCACACACGAGCGACGCCGAGTGATCCTTACTTGACACCGTTTATTGCGCCAGCTAGTGTGGGGCAAGAGGAATGCCACCGCGTACATTAGGAAAACTCCACACGTGTTGCATAGTATCTACTGAAACATTCACTAAAATTACGACAACAGTTATTTTCCCATTTGGCTATTTCTCCGTCAAAACTATACCCTGCAAAATCCCACTCAACCGTCCGTTTATTTTAACGGACGAAATAAAGGTATTAAAACATTAAAAGCAGCTCGTTAGTCGTCGCCGTCGATCCAAAACTGCCGGTAACCATTTACTGACGACAACAGCGCGGGAATAAAAACAAAATGAAAGCTAAACAATCGATACAAGAGGATCTAACAAGAATAAATCGTCGATTTCTTCAAAATAATCGCCCATTTGATCATCCCCTCGAGAAATAGACGACGGAGATGAAGGCGAGGAGTGGCACTCAAAGTCTAGAGACGTATCCTGTAAAATGTCATCGAACACTCTACGGTCTGCCAAAACCGTTGAACTATCATCAAAGAGTGGCAATACCGGAACCGGATCATTGAATAACCAATCGAGGAAAGGGAAATCGAGAGGCAAATAATCTCCAAAATCACTGGTTGCTGGTTCTTGAACTGGCGGCAACGGCTTACTTTCTTCCTCTTGGAGTTCATGACCTGGTCTTTCGGGTTCGACCGATGTTTCTTCTTCACTCGATTGAGTTTGAAAGTTGAAGACTAAAGTTTGAGACGAAAGATTGCGAGGTGAATCGTCTCCCGATTGGTACCCGGAAACCGATGGCTTGCCGATGTTTTCTGGTTTTCCGGTAGCATCTTCAGCCGGATGAGTGATGAAGTTCGTTAAAGCGTTGTGTTCTCGGAGCTTGATTGCTGCATTATCGTAAACCAAGGCAGCTTCTTCAGCAGTGTTGTAAGGACCCAACCACAGCCGTACGCGACGAGCGGGGTCTCGAATCTCCGCCGCCCATTTTCCCCACGGTCGTTGTCGTACACCTCTGAACTTCCTCCCGTTCCCGTTCGATGAAGAAAGCTTGAGTGGTCTACGGTTGGGCTCCGAGACGTCGACGCCGGCGACTTTCCTTTTACGGGTATTACCGGGAACGGTGGTTTTGGAAGCGGCGGAGTGGATGCTGATCTCGTTGATATATCGTTTCACTCTCCGCCGGTGACAATAGAAATCGGCTTCGTCGTCGCTGGAAGAGTCCGTTGCGTCAGGGTCCGTCACCGATACCCGAACAACTTTCATGGGCTTCGAAGATTGTTTTCTGAACATTTTTGTGAGGGTTTTGTTTTGGATGTAAGTGATCGGAAATAGCAATTCTTGGTCCATTCTCTGTATACCTGTTGTACCAAATGGTGAGTAAAAGGGAAGGAACAGTGAAAAAGAAGCTTAGATTCAGACAAAAGGCTGGATCAGAGCATGCAGAAAAGCAGTTGTTGAAAAAGTCGTATGTTTTGGAGAAGAAGAGACTTCAAAATGAAACAACAAGAGGTGGACAAGGAAATGGTATATGGTATTTAAAACAAAGTGTAGGGTAGGGGTAGGGATGGCAACTCAACCCGAATCCGACGGTTTTCGACCCGACCCAATCTGATTAGGTTGGATTTTTTTTTAAAAAAAATCGGACTCGGATAGAGTTTAGGGTGAAAAAAACCGACCCGACCCGATCCGAAAAATATATATAATTTTACATATATATTTAGGGATAATTATAATATTACCCCTCTATATATAATTTTTTTAAATTAAATTACTGTTTTTATTGAATAAAAATATATATATTTTAATTATTTCGGGTCGGTTTCTAAATCATATATTTGGGTCGAATCGGGTGAAATATTAATTTCTTCATGTCGAGTCGGGTCACGGGTAGAGGACCCTTTCTTATCGGGTCGGGTCGAGTAACATAAAAACTCGACCCGACCCGACCCATTGGAAGAGCCACAAGACTATTGTCAACCAAGGGTGGGGCAGACTCAAGTGTAAATGTTCACACTCAAATTTGCTTTTTTATTGGATCCCCGGCCGAAATTGGGAAAATCGTGTAACATAATATCCCATAATTACTTTCCGGAAAATAAATTAGGAAGAAACTGGTAATTTTATAACTTTATAAATTTTATTATACGGCTGAACCAAAATGAAAAAAATAACAATGTCCTCTCCGGAACATGCTTAACTGTTGGTCGGTCGGTAAAAGTGTGTGATTAAACAAAAGCAAAACTCCAATGTCTTGTCGATTAAACCACCCTTTGTTCCTTTTTTATCTGCCGCTTCATTACCATATTGTTCAAAATCAAATGGCTTTCGATTGTTCATGTTATTTTTCTTAATTTATATTCTCTATAATCTTTATTAATGTAGGGGAAAAACATACGTCACAATAAATTCATTTGAATTACGGATAATTTTAAACTAAAAATAAATGGTACGAATCCTTTAAGTTCTACATAAATTCTAGTAATAAATTAACAATGGTGACAACCGTAACTTCCATAATAATAGCATGGATAACATAAACGTCACAACAATAGAATTTATTAAATGCATGGATCATATTGCGATGCTGACTGTTGACACCTATATGTTTAAGTATGTTAGCTGGTCCAACCAAGAAATAAATTTGTTTACTTCTTATGAGCCTACTCGTGTTATCGGAATTTCCTTTTTCTTTTTAATTCATTTTCCAAATTATTAATATTTAATTTATTAATTGAATAATTTAAATTGAATATTATACAAAATTATTGTGAGTGTAATTTTCTCAATTCATTCTCTTTTCTTTATAAAACTCAAATTTTTATTACTGATTTTATTTAAATAATTTAATAAATTATTTAACTATTTAATGCATGCATATTAAATGTACGTAATAAAAAGATATTGAAAGAAATGCATATTATTTTATAGCAGTGAATGGATTTACGTCCAAACTCAAATGTCATCTATACGGAATGCATTTAATTTTTTTTTTACATTTTCCTCTCTCTCTCTCTCTATATATATATATACACACATACATGATATTTAATAATTAAAATTAATCAAATAAAATCCATTGAATTGTCTTAGTGGTTAGAAGGAATATTATTCTCCTTTGAGATTATGAGTTCTAGCAGTGCGTCTGTATATAAGGTGTACGTTGTCAATGATTAAGAATGATTATAAGCAAATATTATATTATAATCACACCAAACTATTAAAAAAATTATTCCACGAATTTAGTTGATTCAATCTTTATTTCGAGAGTTTATTTGGTGCAAGAAAAAAATCAAGGACTTAATTGATTTTTAACAAAAGTTTGAGAAATTCAGAAATTTTAAGTTTTAAATTAATTATTGATTTTTTTTATAAAAATTATAATATGTAAACTACTCATAACCTCAACCTCTAGATTAAATATTACTATTGGATGAACAAAAAGAGACGGTTAAAATTAATAATAAGAAATAATAAGATATTCATTTGAGAAAAAAATAAGTAAATAATCTTAATAATCTATTTTCTATCGTCCAACCATCTTTAAAATATACAAAACTAAAAGTTTTAAATAAAATATAAATGGATCCTACCTTTATTTATAAGTATAGTAATATATATAAACCCATCAAATGTTCTCGATAATTAAAGAAATTTTATATTTAAATATATGTCCATCATTGTTTCAGTTAAACGTTATAATATGAATATATTTATTAAATTAATTAAATGCATTATTAGAAATTAAATACTGATACACTCTTTAACATAAATAGTTTCTTTGTGACGAGAGAAACAGAAATGAAGTTGTGCATGTCGGGAAAAAGTACGTAAAAGCTGAGTCATAGCAAAGATATTTAGTCTTAATCATACCTTAAATCATTGCTGATATATATTCTCTACACTCTAATTGGCTTTGCAGAATATATATATTATAATTTGATTAGCTTTACATAGATAATATTATTCATAAAGTTTTGATCAGTTTCCTTAAAATAAGAAATTGGTCTCATGAAAGCCATTAACGTTTCCCCTCACAGGTTGACCACGTCATTTCGGATGCATTACTTGGATTATATACTAAATATGTAGGTTTTTTTTATATTAGATAGGTATTAATAGTAATTAGTACAGTTTATAAAAATGTATATTTCTTTTAGTCTATAATCTCTTTATTGAAATTATCGAATAATTTTTTTTATTAAACTAGAGTGATTATAAAGTAGTATATGTTTTAAATATTCTCAACTATTTGATAATAAGCGTTCAATCACTCAACTACAACTGCAGGTGCTCGAACCCGCGAGCTCTAGGAACAACAACATTGAAGTAAGTTGGTTCGTGCTCATCAAGCAATCTCAATACTTAAAATATGTAATATTTATCGAGCGAGCTCGATAGTTAAAAGGAGTGTTGTTCTTCTTTATGGTTCTGAGTTCGAGAAGTCGTGTCAGCAAGGTGTATGTACTTAGTTAGTATTATTAAATAAAACTAAAAATTTATACTATACGAACGAATCCTACATGTATAAAATTGAGATTAGGTTCTGTGTTATTTATTGAACCAGATTTTCAGGGACTTTGTTCTCTTCCACTCGTGCCCACGACCCATTTGCCGCACCTGCTCCTATTTCTTTGATCATTTTGCGTTAGACTTTGGTTCATTTTTTTTCCTCTCAAAATCAGGCCTACCCCTTTTTTTCAGAACTATTACCTGATCGAAGTTTTTTTAAACCGATTTAATAATTTCGATATAATTAATAAACATAATTTTTAAAATATTACAAGATAATATTTGTATAAAAATATTTTCACTTTTTACAAAAAACATTTATATAATTTTACAAATATTATGTTTGAACCAGAAACTTTATTGGATAATAATAATCATTTTAATCAATAAAATCGCTTGATATGTACTAATAACAAAGTTAAACATGATACCGATACTTTGAGTTAAAATAAATTTAGATATTAAGTTAAAATTAAAAGATATTATTTGTTTGAAATATTTTTAATCTTTTGACTAGAGACAGAGCTCTAATGGAACACAAAGGGCCCCGGCCCATGTAAAAAATATATGCTCGATAGATTTTGATTTAATAGTATTTTATTTTATGTAAACATAAATATTCAAATTAAATAATAATAAATTATTAAATATTTAATCATGTAGGTGTCGAACTAAAGAATGGCAATCTAATGTTCCCGATTTTTTAGTCTAATAACAATTTTGGTCATTGTAAGTTTAAATATCAGACAAATTAGATATTTTGAATTTTAAGTTTAAATACATAATAAGTCATTATATGTTTCTTAAAAAGTTCAATATTTCGGCCACTATCAATTTCTAATATTGGCTCCGTCTCTGCTTTTGACAATGAACGTTTATATATTTCTGTAGACATAGTGTTCTAACTTGAAACCTTATAATTTATATAATAACAATCATTCATTTAATCACTAAAATCGCTTGATTTGTATTAATAACGAAGTTAAACATGATAAAGACACTTCGCGTTAAAATAAATTTTGATTTGAAGTTGAAAAAAAGAACATATACATGTTAGGAAACAAAATATACTTAGTTCAATTAAAAAAAGCGTAAATTGTAAATTTTAAAAATTAATTTTACTCTCATTCTTATTTTAATTATTAATTAAAAAATTAATTTAATCACTATTAAGTTGTTTTCACCGTTATATCATAAAACGTGTGATGTTGCACTTGTTTTATTAATATATGTGTTAAGTAAGAATTAAAATAAAATTAAAATTATTATACCCTAATCCAAACCCCCACAACTCCCTGACCTTACTTACCTTCCCCATCACCATCCCAAACCCTAAACTTTTATTTACCATTTCAACCCCTCTTCCACTTCACCTTCACTATTCCAGAACTTTGTTAAATTATATTACAATATTCTATAATTATTTTAGTTTCAGTTTCCACTGTAGAAGAAACATCATTATCTAATATCGAGGTGCTCTTCAAGCAACAATTCGTTTTTCTCGAGTGCTCGAGTGACCTGCGACTGTAGAACATATGCGGCTCAGATACCAACAATATAACAATCGGGATGGATTGAAGGATGGTGATAACATTCATTCTTTGCAAATTTTAAATTAGTATATATTTTAGATATTTTATTTATATTTTCAATTGATAATATGTTTTTGTCTATTGAAATTTTATAACTTCATCTCATTCTAAAATTTTAAAAATTCACCTTTCATCTCATAAAATTATATGTCTGCCCCTAATAACAATGTTCACCATATTCTTTTTTAATAATATGTGATGATTATACGATAATATCTATTTAAAATTTTTCTTAACAATTAATAA